ATATAATTGATGAAGTTCTTATCTAGACTTTTACTTTTACTGATTGATTTCTCATAATTATGACTTTAAAAGTTAGATATAAAAGAATCAAGATATTTTTTCTTTTCTGTATTTTTTGCGAAAATATAATATATAGATATCTATTCGTAACTGTAACAATTGTTGTTGTAGAACAATTATTTTTTTAACGGTTTGCAATACATTAATTCATGTTTTGAGACGTCAATTATATTATTATCAATACGTCGCACCTGAATTTGCGATTACTCGTCGTTCGCCAAAGTTCTCACGCCAGTTTCGCCGAGATTACGCCGTCGACCAGGTAAGGACCTTCGGAATATTACGGCCCACTCGGTACAAAGGCGTGGAAGCTCACCCCTCGTAAATATTTCCAATAAATATCACCGATACCTACCGTTGGCCAACGCCTACGTCGCGCGCGAAGATCACATTTTTTCACAATGGCTTCGTACCACGTTGCGTATTTGATCAACACTTATTTTTACGAATTTTTATGACCTACTCAAATTTTCCATCGCATAACGATATATATTTATATTATATATTGATATTGTATATTGTAAAAATATTTCGATATGCTTTCTAAATGTAATTTTCTTTTTTATCTTAATAAACTTGCCTATAGTCTTTGTTTATGTTTGAATCGTTAAAATATGTAGGTACTTATTGGTGTATCATTTTATCCTTGTTATTTACCGAATGTTAAACAAGGAATATTATACATCATGCCCAAAGCGCTTTACAGAATCAGAGAATTATTATCACGGAGCGAAATATGATTTAACATCTGTTCCGTTGTTGTGTTTCCGCCCGGCCAAATTTGTCGAGCGTGTGAAGCCTCGTTTTTGACTCCCACATTGTAATTCCAAGTGTGTAAAAAGTGACACATTTAATAATGTGTGTTATTTAATTTTCTGTGTAAAAATGGCACTATGCTATACGGTTAAATGTGTAAATCCATTATTTGTATGCAGTGTATAGTGTGTTAAATTTTTATACGGGAAACTAATCATATACATATTGAAGTCACTTTTTACACACTTGAATTTGAAATGCACCGTATATCTTTTATGATTCATAATTTATTTGTTTTATTTTTCGAGGTTAAATTTTATTCTACACTATTCAGTTTATTAATATTTTATATAAGAAATTATAAAATTATTTTAAACATAATTGTTCTTATACTGAAAAAAGAATCTGGTCAATAGTTACCAAATGTTGTGTCAAATAATTTCAATTAAATGTTCGATTAAAGTACCAAAAAATAATTTTACTTATCTAAATATTTAGTAATTAACAAATAATTATATAATTGTTTGGTAATACTTACTAAATATTTAGAAAAATAAAATTATTAGTTATTAACCGAACATTTGATTGAAATTATTTTATTTAATATTTGGTAGCTGTTATTAAATTCTTTCTTTGATGTACAATAAATAGTTTAATTATTATTATAATACAAAATGCAGTAGAGATGTATATTATATGGAATAATACTCTCTTAATTCCGAAATCAGCATATTTTAAGTAATTATAAAAACAAATGATTTCCAAACTTTCGCGATCCTAGAAGATGAAAATTGAAAGGTATGTGTAGCAAGAAACTTTCTGACGCGCGTCGGATGCTGCATGAACTCGTGCGAACCGTCAGGAAGATTCACAATACAGGCGCGGTCCCATAATCCTGATTTAGACGGGCCCATATATTAGACTAAGGATCGTGAAATTGAATGGTAGAATCAGTGGAAAGAGCGATCTGGCTGTCAACTGCGAGGAATGGAGTATATCGTGCGAAAAATAAACTGCTCCTGGCGCGAGTGGGGTTAGTAAATTTCGCAGGTGGTCCAAAGCTACCTGTATATCCTCTATCCTCCTTCTCCTCTTTCATTCGCGTCTTCTTTGTGTCCTTTCGACTCTGCTCCGTTCGTCGTGGTTTGCGTTCCTGGTCTTTTCGTTGAGGAGTGCTGCGAATGTCCTCTCCCAAGAAGGCTCGTAAATCCTTGCATTTACCTCGCGCCTTCTGTCCTTACTTGGAGCGCAAATACGCGAATCTCGACTCGTCAAAGGCGAGGCACACGCTGGCATTCACCAGACTCGATTGCGTCGTGGCATTGTTTATTGTGAATTTTTAATCTTATGTTTTTACACATATAAATCATACACATTGGAAAAAGAGTCTAATTGTAGAGGAAAGAAGAAATTATCAATAATATAGTTACTATTATTTAAACCATGTATTGCATATAATTTGCAAAAGAAAATCGTAAGAATTTTATTTTCGCATTCGTAGAATTCGTTTTTAGCTGATTTGGTATAGAAACAAGCTATAAATATACGAATTATGAATTTGTACTTCTTTAATTAACTAAACAGATCATGATTTTATTACACTATTAAATCTATAGTGTCAAATTTAACTTAACGTGAGTCGCCACTTCTCCTACTCAATCATATCATTATTTTAGACTAAAACAATGGTTATAGTTGGCACTATACAGTGTCAAATTAACATAATATAGTGTCAAATTTAACTATCGTTTTGGTAAAAAATAATGATATATTTAGTAGGAACAGTGGCGACTTACGTTAGGTTAAATTTGACCCTATAGATTTAACAGTATAGTATTAATAAAGTGCAATAGTTAGTTTCTAAGAAATAAGGGGGTGTCACTTTAGGAGAACCTGTGTTAGTATCGGTGACTTTCCTCTATTAATTGGAATTCTGGTGAATTTCTGAAAATTCACAAATAAAAATTTTTCTGTTTTGAATCTATTATAATTCTAGTTGAGATAATTAGAATTCGGACATGATCAGAATTTTCTAGTTTATTCCTTTTTTAATCAGAAATTTTTCTCTGTGCATAATTACTGAATTGTTAATGATGCAGCACTATCATTCGCAACATTAAAGACTGAAATTATATTTTAATTATGTTAACTACTACTTAAAAATTATAAGAAATTACATTAAATTAAAAATAAAAGTATTTATTTTTTGATTTACATTCGATTATTAAATTTTAAATTACACTTAATTATTAATCTTTAACAATATTCGAAGGCCCAAGTTGCAGATAAAGTGTGAAATTTTCACACTTTATCTGCAACCTGGGTCTTCGAACTTCAACACAGATTTTTATATTATTTTAGACTTTAGACTAAAAAAATCTGAAAAGATTCTTACATATTTATGAAAGTTGTAATCACGAATTTTTATTATCACAGAAATTGAATTACATTGTACTTACTTTTTACAGGTTTAAATTTATTTCCAGAATTTACAATAAAAAAATCAATCATATCTTTGAAATTACCAGCGGAGGTTATTAATATAGTTTTTATATTTTGTAACGCATTTTGTAAACACATACATGCAGTTCATGAATTGTGTTGATTATGAAATCGCGAAATTACATTTTGGGGTGAAACGTACGAGTAACAGAAGCGGTTATAAATATGATAAGGAAATATCTCACGCCTAGTCAATGTCGGATTATTACGTTCGGATACGAAAGCCATACCACGAGTCCGTTATTAATGCGACCGATACTCATTCCGTACTCATCCGTAGATACGATCTCTCCGCCCAGCCAATCGGATAGCTACGTCTAAACCTATAATTAACATTAGCCCACCCATAGCGGGTGCGACGTTACAAGCCGATTAACGAAAGTTTCAATTTACTTTGCACCGTATTCTACGCCTGTTGATCTAAACGAGCGTGTATCTAAATAGTACGCACTATATTATTACTTTCTTAAAAATTGCATTATTTAATTAAATTTTTATACAGTCCGAGAAATACATGGTGGAAACAAACCTGTAGTACAATCGGACGAGGGATGATTTCTTGTACAAAAACAAATTGAAAGTACAGAATAAGCTTTTTTCGTCCAAAGTCTATAAGCAGTTTTTCTTTTAATAAAATAAATAAAGTTCAACTATTTTTTACATTTTTTAAAATCTTGCCATTCGTGAAATCGTGTGGACGTTATGTAAACATAATAATGTTTACGGTGTCTTTACACAAATATCTTCATTAAGTGCATGTGTACTCAACTTGATTTTCTTGGAAACAAAGCCTTGGATGAAAAAATTTATTCTGCATTTTCGACTTATTTTTGTACAAGAAATCGCCTGCCTGGTTGTATTATATATGGAAAGGATAGTTTTACTAAAATATTGGCTATACATCTGAAAATCATTTCGTTGGATCATCAAAAATTATAAGACGTTTAAACTGGTTGTTAGAATATCAAAATTTTTTATAGCATTGCTCAGCATAATTGAGCTTCCTACGTAATTATTTCGATGGTCTAGTAATCTAACTAAATTTTTAGATACTTCAGCAAAATCGTTCAATTTTGTCCTTGCTCTGTATAACACTAATAGTTCATTTTCCCCTATATCGTTAAAAAATATGAGTACTGAGTAACGAATAAATTCAACGACGTAATTGTTGCAAATAGTCTTTAAAATCTTTAAAAAAATTCATTATGACGGTATGAACAAGATAAGAGTCAATAGACTACGTGTTTTTGATATCAATGTTTTCCTTATCGAGAAGTGCCGGTATTACAATCATCAAGTCATCGTTCCCGTGGCGGGAGCGTGCCTTTAAAGTTTCCCGCTGGTGTTCATCACGTCATAGCGTATCATAATTTAACGTGAGACTCAAGTCAATCAATCACTTGTTAGCGATATGCGATCCGGCGCGTGATCGTCTCGTGCGGCCTATTAAGCTTGCGCTATTAATTAACCAGAAATGGGAGATGACTTGCGATATCATGTAAGTCTCATGAGACGAAGGTATGCAGCGATGGTAATCATTGCGGAGATGAAGTCATTCAGAGACTCCGTTTAAAGTTTCTTCCGAAGCATCGTGCACTTGTAGCTGTCGCTAAGCTAAGAGCTATTAATTATTTCTCGCTGCGTTTTCTTGATGATGAATGTTGTCTTCTTTTTTGTTTCAGGCCATAGCGAGAAATCTGCAGCCAGCCGAACGGTGAGTATCGGGATGACTTGTCTTTTGGACACCTCTCGTGTAAACATCGTCGCCGATCGCTTCTTTTTCATCCCGATGTCTGTACTGCGTTTACAGCATGGTGCAGAATTTCTCTCCTTGTGGACAGGAGATGATGCATGAGCGTACTAAAGCACATTAGCGAGATCGACGGAGGAGTGGTGTCGCGCCGCGGTAACCCGATGCGCGAAAAAAAAGGAATATTAGTCGTTCGTCAATAAATCGCGATGCTTGTGGAAATTATAGTAATGATTATAGTGGTGCGCTCGAAGAGAGACGTGATACTTCTCACTTGGTCACTTACATAAATCTGCCGGGTCACATTAGCTCGCCGCTAATTGCTTTTAAATCGACTAGTATCCTAATAAATTTCACAAGCTTTTTTTTTAATAACATCTCGACGCGGACACGAGCGAGGGTTGTTTATTTATGGGGAATCGTTCGAGGCAAAGCATAGCCGTGCTTGTTTCTGTATCCACGCACGCACGCACGCACGCATGCATGCACCTGGTACGTCTCTCAAAAGGTTTTGATATATCGAAAGGGATGGTGAAACTATTTGGGCCGACACCCCCGCCTAATCCAATCCCTTTCGTTTGGAACCTCAGAAATTCCTTGCTTCCCTTAATATATCATCCAGTCATACAGATCGCGCCCCTCGAAAAGAATCTTTCCGCCGTACGCCGTTTTAACCGACTATAGGTTCTCCTATCTTTTCTATGTCTATAAGAAAGACATCGTTTTACGATTTAAGTAGCACAGGGATTTTACGACCGATCAATAAATTGAAACGCCACTCAGCGCGCACATATTAATCCGGTCATATCCGTTGTTGCAGATTTACTACGACAGTATTGCTGGAAGCGTTTCCTCATCTCAAGTATATCATCGACTTGACCAACACATGTCGCTACTACGACAAAAAGGTAAGAGATATAAAGCTGAAACTTAAATTTAGCGAAACCAAACAACTGATTTTCACCGACTTGTGAATAATAATGGTCACCCTATACTCGATAATTAATATATACTGATAATTTTGAAATAAATATTGTAAACTTAATACAGAACGTAGAAAATAAATTTGAGATTGTTCCATGCGATTAAAAAGGGGCCATATGTAGACAGTATCGTCTGATGAAATAATACTGACGTTTTCACATGAATTTAATGCGGAAACATATCGCGTATCGTTCGAATTTCAAGTCGTAATTCGCTATGTTTATGCACGCGCTCCTTTACCTTTTAGTAATTCGAAACAAGAGACCAAACAACGTCTTCTCACTTTTCAAGCTGTCACCTACTGCATTCCTTGATCAAGCAGATATACAGATTCTCTCTTTTTTTTTCTCAAACTTGGTTCAACTATCTATTATCGCTGTTCGTTTCTATCTGTCTTTCTCGATTTCATCTGCTCGTCTTCACTCGCTCTCGCCTTGACATCCTAATATCGCATCGGGGTCAATTCCAGCTTGAGAACACTCGAGAGCGGTCTGACTAATTTGTAGCGAGGGAAGAGAGACTGAGCTAATGAACTTATTATTAGATTTTTGGAATAGCCGGCTGCCACGACTCGATCGGCTAACTGATTGCCGGTCCGAGTCGTTATGTCGAATGGGGATATGTCCGCGATGTTTTCTGGGTCAAAGCTGTCAGAGAAAAGGACCGAAGACCGATCAATTATATTAATAAGTCGTGGAGTTGATTCGGTCGCTTCATCTTTTGCTTTTTGTCTCGGCCCCACCGACGTTTGGACAGCCATTTGCCACGCGATGAGAGTGAAGAATCCTAGGGGATATGTTTTAAAAACATTATACACGCCGCTGTGAACATCAATAGCGCTACGGGGCAACGATAATTAACAGAGAGATCTCTCGGTGTCGCCCACGCCTAATTAGAGCGCATTATACGAGTACGTGTATAATGAAGCGCTTAGTCGGTCCTTTAATTTTCCTGCCTATAGCCGATGTTACGGGGAAAACAAGATTGTGGAGACAAAGGATCTCGCATACCGGTTCGTGAAGATTTCATCAAATGTGTCTTTTACTTTCTCAGTTTTGTGTATGTTTACATATACGAAATCCTTCCGATTTATACGTATGGTACATGCTAATTTTTCTACTTTCATCTTCCGAAAATCTCAGAAATATGATAAGATGCATTAGATATACGATTAGAGAATCTGTTTCATTGAAACAGAGAATTTATAAATATATTTTTTTATCACAAAATTTCTTATTTTCGAAATTCATTTTCTTTTTTGATTTATTATGGTTTAATTTCGTTTTTGTTGAGATTGAGAATCGGAGATATTCTTGAACGAAAGAATTTCTTGCACATTATCGACGGCTGGAGAAAAGAAAATAGGTTCGATATTGCCATTAAGCGCAATAGTGCACGATCACCAAGATTGAGTTTCTAATATCTCGCTAAAAGCAAAGTCAAAAAGATTGATTATTATGACGTGATCTGTCATCAGAGTGGAAAAACGAGTGGTAACTGTTATCTGACATCACTCAGGTTAGAATTACACTTGTGTTACTATTGTTATCGTTAAGCGACGTTTTTTAATAATTAAAGATAATCAATATTAACGCAGCACAAAATATTACTACATTTAAAAAAATTAATTTTTTTATCAACAATTGATTTTTTTAAAAATTTACGTACATGTTATTTATATTTTTTTCGCAATGATTTATTTTTTATATTAGTAATTCATTTTTTATTTCAATTTGTTAGTACTTTTGAGGTTTGAAATCAACTAAGAGATAATAGAGAGATAATAGAGAGATTCATGAAAGTGCAAAACTTGTTGTTGCATCTAGGCAAACACGCTTGTATACTAAAGAATACTTTCTGAAATACAAATAATTGTGAATCTCTCTTTTACTCGTGTCGATTAGTTTACAGAGTCGTATTTTTCTTTCCATTCTTGCAAATTTCGTATTTAACGATCGATTGTTTCGGTTTTCGAACGTTCAATTCACATCACACTTGAATGACACGCTTGTACTCAGAAACTATGATTATTCGCATTGTTTGTAATTGACGGTTTTATGCGCGATAATTAGTGATGCTAATGAGTGCGCTGGGACGGTTTAACAGGACAATAGCTTGGTCGATCAAATTACACGCGTGTTCAATTCAGTATGTGTTCTATTAATGCATCTGCGTTTCATGCGACAGAGACTATTCTGCTTTTATTACGCAACAATATGCATGTAATTGTTTATGTTTTTGTTAACGGTTCTGTTGTAGGAATTTACAAATGCTGGCGTTAAATACGAGAAGATTGCTATACCAGGAAGAAAAATACCGACTATGGATATAATTAAAAAGTAAGTATGCGAGTGATCTTATTTACAATATCAAAAATGTCAATTTGTTTAGAATATTTTTCTGAAAATTACAAATTTTACAAACATACCTAAGTAATCTTAAAATTTCTTATATTACAATATACTTTTGAACTGATTGAAGTTAGGGAAATTATTTATTTATATTTAAAAAAAACATTAGTCTGATATGAAATGACTCCTCATTGAATAATAGGCATCTCGAACAATCCATTCGATTTGTCAAGCACGCGTGGACCTTTTCTAGTACGACTTGCGTTAATGCCTCTCACTTAATGCCAATCATATTTCACATTTATTATCTCTTCACGGCGATTGGCGATTGATCAGCACGCGATTCGCATAACGCAGGTGACGGCTGGTTAATCATTCGCCTACAAATCATATTACCTTAACAAGGAAGCTGAATCCAACGCGTACCGTTTTTCTGATTATCGCGTCGGAAATTTATCGCTCTTTCTTTTTCTTTCCTCTTTTTTCCCCTCTTTCTCTAGATGTTTTCGTCCACTAATTTAGACCGTAAAGCGTCAGCTATATAGCGAATCATATTACACCATTCAGAATACCTTAGTTTATATTGAAACAAGCAATGAGTTTATTAATTATGACCTTACATGATGATTTCTGCTTTAATTGTTCGCCATTGAACGATGATACAACTTCCACTTAATAGTGCTGTACAGGCGCAGTTCCTCAAACTATGGAGAAATTATTTCCAATTTTCATTATGCTTTAGTTAAAAATATACATCGTCCGTGTGATAATAAAATAAAACATAATATTAAATAAAATTAAAATTAATTAAAATATTAAATAAAATATAAAATATATGATATTAAAAATAACAAGATAAAGCGTGTAATATTTCATTCTTTTGATGTTTAATATTATATTTAAAACTATTAAAAATGCGTTTCATTATTTTTGAAAATATTTTAACGATAATAAAACTTTAAAATTAAATCTTGCATTTCTAATTTTTTGCTCTAAAAATGACTATTTGAAATGAGGTCAGGAATGACGTTTTCTTCGGTCTTATAAAAATATCTTTATATAAAGAATAAAATTATCTTTTTAAAGAATAAGAAATTCACGACGGTCATCGGTAGAATGTCAATAATGCCTATAACAATTCTGCTTCTTATCTTAACCGATCACGAAGAATCTTGCGTCTGAATGGAGAAGATGCAATTACTAAAATTCTCATCCAATGATCGGTAGGTAGCCGGAATGAGTTGAATAAAATTCTCGAAATTCTGACGGTGTTCAAGATAACGTCCCGTTCTTCATACTTTACTCGTACGGAATGGAGACACGTATTAACCTTTGCATGGCGCCATCACGCACATGTGTGTAGCTTTTCTGCTTTGAATGGTACATGCAAAGCAGTCTGACAGGGTCGGTCAGTCGACTAATTAACTGCAATAAACGTCCAATGATTTACCGAACATTGTGCAGCGTACCCATACTCTTGCTCGTCTTCCGTTTCCTGTCTCTCTTCTGCTGTCGTTTTCTTTCTCTCGTCCTCCGTTATCATGTGCGTGCGAGAGGTATCCCTAAGTGCTATACGGTCGGATAATGTGTAAGGATTGTATTATACGATCGAGGAAGAGTAATGTTCGAGCGCCGTAATTAGCGGCGATTTCTCTCTCTCTCTCACACACACGACGTATAAAAACTATTTATTATTACAGTAATAAAAGTATTAATTATCGGTGTCTGCCCTCAAGTGTTGGAAAATATTTGCGTTAAATATGAAGACGTTCTACAGCGATATCCGACGCAATTATTTCTCACGCGCGACAAAGGCGCTACCAAAAACATTTTCGTAAGTGCATCGCGTAAAAAACGTGACACGCGCGTAAGCTGTTAACGACGTCGGACCGAATTTTTCGCCGGCTATCACATTAAATACTATTTACTCGTTCGATCGAATGGGAGATAAATATACGAGATATTTCTTTGATGCGGGAACAACGGTGACCACTCGCGGGCCAACCGAGCGGGTCAAAGCACGACCTTTCGCGCAATCACCCGGCTTCTCGCTCTCCTCCCTTGGTCGTCAATCGGTCCGCACAAAGAACGCGGCCCGATTTGTATAATTCGAAGATAAAACGGTGATTCGCATCAACGGTTAATAGCTGACAGGTATGCGAATAGCCTATCGCGCGGATGCCCGTCTGGTCCTGCTCTTTTGTTGATCTTTTTAAGTGAGACCTGATGACTTTGTGGCTCGGCTGTTGCGCGACGTGTAATTAACTGCATCCTTGATAGGATCGGATCGGTTACTGATGCTGTGCCGTGGTCGAAGTGAAAGGAGAGAAAAAGTGAAAGAGTGCGATAATGAAAGAGATATGGAGTGTTTCCAGAGGTGAAAACACTAGGCGCCACTTAAGGGGATGCTGGAGTGATAAAATTATTGATACGTTACAATCGTAAAAAATTTTTCGACTTGACTGAATCAAATTAAAAAGTCTTTTACCGTGAATTGAAATAGACACAAAATTAGGAGGTGGGGCAAGTTGACTTAAATACTAAAATCGAAAAAAAGAGTTAAATAATTTAGAATTGAAAAAGTCTGTACTATCGACCTGTAAGTTTGACCATCACTAACATCCCCTTTTAATATTTTAGATATTCTTGAACTCTGATGAAAACGCAGAGGTAGATAGGACAAACATAGACGCCGTCTTTGCCAAGGAAGTGGCAAAGAAGCCACCTTTTGTGTCGAGGTTTCTCTCGATTTATCCTACTTGATTTTTTTTTGCTCATTCTTCGGAGATTGTAATATTCGTATATCAACCGAATTTATCAGACAATAACGTTAACTTACACCGGCCAGAATTTTTTCTCTTTCGCGAGTCTCCTTGCGGTCGTCACGCGTCTGGAAGATCGAAAATGTTGATCCTTTGCTTCAAGGATATCTTCGCAAATGCGTCTACGAAGCGCCGCGAATGTGCCAAAAATAGCCTTACAACGGGCGCCTACGCTCGAAAATGGTATTTGGAAGGTAAACGACGTTTCCTTATTTCGCAGCGCTGTGTATTCAGGATTGACGATCGGTGATTAAAGGAGAAATCGCGGAGAAAGAACGGATGAGATTACTCTCACTCGCGACGGAATCTTAAATATCACGCGGCTAATTGCGCTCTTTGAATGGCTGGTTAACAGGGTTCATGGCAACAAATATCTGCGTTTATTCGATAATTGATTCTCTTAATTGAAAAGTTAATAAAAAGATGTAAAATAAATACATATAAATTATATCTTTCGTTATAAGTCAATTTTATATTATTAGTTGTATGTTTTCGAATATTGAGTTTTTTTATTTTACTGTTTAATTATTAAGTTATGATTTACGTATTATTCATTCATATACATATATATAAGTAATAATAGATAAATTTTTAATTTGGAATTAAATAATGAGATTTATTAATTAATAGACTCATAGATAGAGTGATAAACTCACTATTTTCGAGAATATAGCAGGCAATTAGTTCCCGCAATATGCAAGACATGTATTCAGTAGCGTTTATTGCATAAACGTTTTCAGTTACCAACGATAATCACATTAACAGAAGTTCATTAGTCTCATATACAGCGGATTAAGCAATTTCACGTGAAACATGATGTTAAATTGGAACACAAACATTTGCAATGTGAGCTTGATTTTAGGACTGCAATAATGGCTTGAACTTTTTATATTAATTACTGTGCATAGCTGAAATCATCTAACTACATTCATCAATTCCTCTCCGCATATTATACATATGTATCTAATTATAATATAAATATACGTCCTATTACTATCGTAATTTTAGCTTCCTTTTCTATGCCTTTTTTTGTCAAGTATGTTGATCAAGCGTAATTTCGCTCGTTTTTTCTTTGTATCGGATAGATTCTAACAGGGTGTGCTAAAATATAATCAAATTCAATTTGAAACACAATTAACATTAATAAGATTGAAATAATTAACATTATTAGATCACATTTCTTTGATTGTCGAATTGCAGCTACTATTATTATTAAAATATTCTCTCTAAAATCTTTACAGTGGAATCTAATTTCTAAGAGTGATAAAGAGTGACAATTGAGCCAGAATTGAAGAAATGTAGCTCAATTGACAATTTTTAAGCGTGAAATTTCATTCTGTAGAGTTAGATTCCGCTTAAGATTTTAGAGAGCTATTTGTATCCGGCAGGGCTGGGCATGTATTTGAAATACTTTTATTTGAAAAACAGTATTGATAAGACAAATATATTTTGTATTTCGATATTAATAACAAAAAATTGAAAGTATTTTGTATTTTGTATTTCAAATACTAACATTGACAATCAACTTTATTATTTCAATTACAAAATACAAAAATCTTTCAACTTTTCGATTTTAAATACAAAAATACGTAATACTTTTATGTGATCCGTTGAAATAAAAAATACAAAATACCTTTGTATTGTAAATAGTGTGTTTTAAATAAAAGTATTTCAAAAATACATGCCCAGCCCTATTGTATGTATTCTTCGCCTAACAATTTGAACAAGATGAACATAATTAAAAAGTCTTAAATTTTTTCTGCAAGTTCAACAAGAAATCTATATTTTGCCAGAAGGGAGGGATAATCTTTTGATGATCGCGCGAACTTCGACGACGTTTCTCTGAAAGATTGGCGATTGGTTCTCTTAGCGCTCGGGGCGAACCCATCTCAAATATTCTGACGTGTGGCGTCTCGGGATCCCGGTGCCCCGTCGGTGCGTGCCGCGTGGAAATCGCGGGAGAGGCACGTTTTGGCAAATGATTGTGGGTGGTAAACGCGTTCGCGTTTCTCTTCCATGCGCATAATGCGTCCGAGCGCGTGCATGTTGCTTCGTATTTCCGGTGCCGTTAATTCGAGAGCTGAACGACGCCGGAGCTACAAGTCGTTCTCGAGGAGAAAAAGAGAGATTCCTACTCTCTCGTCTCTCTTTGTTCTCTCCATCTTGGCAAGCGTCTCGCATCGGGAACGACGAAGGAACGTGCGTACGCGCGTCTCACGCTCGGGACCACCCGGGCGATCGCTTCATTACGTAAATTCGCCACCACTCGCGTCCTCCGCGTCTTCGCGTGCCCGTTTCATCCGTGCACGCGCCGTCTTGTCGCCCATTCTCCGTGCGATACCAGGCAACGATGCTCAAAGGCGATTCCGCGCGAAATACCGACACAACCACGTTCTTCCGAGAATTGGTCGGACATCCTTGGTCAGAAACGATAATGCATGTATAAGAATATAACCCTGGGTCAATATTAATCTTCTCCTCAACCTAGTCTTTGAATTGTTATTCAGTATTCAATAGTATTTATGAGCGTTTATCGGTCTTTGAAAGTCTAAAAATGACGAAATCTCTCTCTCTCTCTCTCTCTCTCTCTTATTATCTATAATAATAAATTCTATATGATAAGGTTTTATTTAAAAAAATATATTTTAAAAATTGATTTGTACAAAAATGTATTCTTATTTACTTTGAATTTTCAGATTTTTTATATTCTAAATATATTAATAGATTTTCAATTGACTCAATTTGTCATCAAGATGTTCTTTTTTCAATTAGTATAAATTTTATTGATAAATTCATGCAATTATTAGCCGAATGAATTGTTTATTTAGGAATGATAGTCGCATTTTTTAAATTGAGTGTATTTCAGAGCTACGTATTTTATATGATGACAAATTACGCACTTTGGAAATGGAATGACCGTGAAAACAGGCGTCTACCGAGTGCTGCTATAACCGTATGCCTTCCGTATACGCGACTCTGATTGAGAAACAGTCAGTCGGAGTGTTTGCGCAGTACTTCTACGATATCTTCGGTGTTCCGGGATCTGTGCTGGGAGTACAGCCATACAAACATCGGTTAACCGTTCACCTACCTACGACCGCGCAGTCCATGCATTAAACATTCTCAAACATGAACGATTTTACGTCCAGCTGATGGGCCAACTTCGCTGGTCCATGTGTACTTGCGTGAAAATATAATCTGCGGTCGTGAATTTCGAAGCAAAACGGAACATGAATTCTTGTTATAATTAAAACTGTTGCGACGACTAATTCTTTACGCTGAGGATATCTTCTATTTTTCATATCGTGCATATGTTGCAACATAAAATTCGCTGTCTGGTAATATTTATAAATAAATCAAAGATATTGCTATGTATAGTATAAAAATGTAAAGAAGCATGAACGTACATACTTGTGTAGATTGGTTGATTGCTTTTCATGGTTACTTCGATATGCTTTTATATCTGTCAAAGAATAGAATTAATATATAATTTTACGTCAATAATATTTTAATAATTTATATAGATAGATTTAATTTATTCATCACGGTAAATTTAAAATGTTTTCTCATCTAAATGTAGGGCAAGGAAAAAACAAACGGAAAACGCAAACATGGATAAAAATCAGAGAAAACGAATTTATGGGCGGAAGAAAGGGCAGCCAAAACTACGCTTGGAATAGTAGAGAGGCTAGCTCTAGGTCAGCTTTGATCGCGATGACCACATACTTTGCTTTAAGAAATTTGGTCAGAAATATTCTCGGGATATTAGATTTTAAATTAAATTTGAAGATTCGCGTTAGTTTCTCATTAAATCAAGATGTATTATAATTTATGCACAAATCTGTTTATCATAAGGAGGATGATGTGTTAAATTATTTACTCTCAGACATTTCCCGCAAGGTGTAATCTGAACTATTCTAGGTATATATTGCCTTCTCTCTAATGGATATTGTGTCGCTCTTGTGCGTCTCACTCTATACGTTCCAGGAGCACCTCTTTCGGAAATGATGGACGGACGTGTTGCCGGGCTTTGTAATCGTTGTAATCTTTCTCTCGTTGTCTCTAGAAAAGTATAACGATTTATCTAATTTATTACTGTACTGATTATTTATTATTAAATATTTAAATGTAACGCGCGTTAATCGTGATATAATTTATCGTCCATACCTTCATCGTCAATTTCTTCGACATCTGATACAGCATCAACTGAAAAATACAATTAATTGAGAGAGAGAGAGAGAGAGAGAGAGGGGGGAAGGAGGGAGGAGAGAGATATATATCTATTAGATTAGAGAGATTATTGTTTTATATTTTTATATTAATTAGTTTCAATGAGAATTAAAGTTTTTATTTGGCAGCAATTTTGTAATTAAGAAAATAAAAATAACTATTGTGTATTATACTTTATAAATCATTATATATCTATGTGATACAATGGATTACTGTTATGATTATATATGAATTTTCTATTTACAATCAATTCGTCGCGGTACAATAGCTACTCCAGTTGTGAGATCTCTACGTGAGACACTTCTTACACGGGTTCGAGGCATACGTTGATAACTTGGTATTCTTCTTGGAGTCGAGATTAGAGTCGAGATTTGAGGCGAGATTGGAGTTGAGTAATACGGTGGAGCAAACTCTTCTTCATAATACCGTGTCGACGTACGTCGTTCTTCTGGACTTAATTTAGTTCATATAATTTTTAGTATTTTTCACATTGATATAATCTTTTATTCTGAGCATGAAAACGCTGTTTATAAAAGTTAAAGTAACATTAAGAATAAAATGTTATTCTATAATGTTATTCTATATGTGCTATATTATGTTTTTATCACAACGAAATATTGAAAATATTTTTTTCATGTAAATAATTAATGGTGGTATCTCTCATCTAACAATATGTTTATTAATTTAAAAATTATTATATATTGATAAATATGTGTTGAAACATAATAAAGTCATATTTTTATTAATGTAACATTAATGCAATTGAATTATATATAGGTTAATAAATTATGTATAGGTTACATACGTATGACATTCGGAAAGTGCAGTATGATATTCTTCTCTACTATTATTATCTGGAGGGCAAGTACACATAGTCGTGGATTTTACTGAACAAATACCTATTTCACAATTTTGAAAATTTGTGCCGAAAAGGTTTTACAAATTTAAAAATTACGTCAAAATTATAGTCTTACATTATAGCGTCAATCGATCAAGAACTATCGATTGCTTTTCTCATTATCCTTCACGACACAGAATAATTTGTATGCATTATTTCTTTATATAAAAGGAAACTTGATTATAATTGTGCATTTTGATTGCATATTATTCAAGCGTATTAAAACGAAATAAGGCAAATTTCCTAATGTATTACATAATTATACAGAAGAATAAAAAAAAATAAAAAAAGTTAAATAAAAACAAAGTCTCGGGCAAAAAAATTTCAAAAATTTTACGAAAATGTATGCACAAGTTAAATAAGACTTTTTACTCATGTCGACGCGAGTGACTTATGAATCGCTCAAGCTATAATGTCATTTAACATTGTTTATCAGACGAATATTCATCTCATTCCTTTTTTCATCAATATTAATTAACTTTAATTTAATCTTGGTTCAACTTATTCTTCATTTTTTTAGTTCTAAGAATTAGAAAAACATGATTCTCTCTTATATTTCGACTGTCCCTTACATCTCTTAGTCAATCGAAATCTGTTGAATTAAAAAATTATTCACTTAACAGACTTCGAAAGTCTAACATGCCGCGTGAATGGTCAACGCATGTCTGCGTGTCTGAAAATCAGTGCTCCACGATGTATTTATTTATCATCGTCTTGTCAAACGACGAAATTGTAACTTGATATTCATTAGATTTAAATAGCAACGCGCTGTTCTTCCGGGCGACGATCGAGCTTTTAGATAATGTGTGATTACGCAACCGGCATGACATAGACCGGTCATGTGGTCTCTCCCAGTAAAGTTACACGCACGCACGCAAATGGGCGCGAGCACGTAGTACGGTGGGCGCGTGCGAAGGACCACACACCGTGCGATATTCAAATGAATGCCACTTACGACCGACAATCGCGCTGCCATAAATGTCGTTTCGCGGTTTCACGGGCGCGTCTCCTTATTCCGATCGAATTTCTCCGCGTGATTTTTACGGTTTACACAAAACATTCGAGTTATCAATAGTCATCTCTATGGGTCTTATAGTTAATTAGCGAAGATATCGCTTAGATTTGAGGAGATTGTAAAAGTGTATTCCATTAACACCTTGGTTGGAACTTGTATTCGCAATACTCGGTGATAACTGCAGCTCTGAACGTATAATGCTATTTAAAGTAAAATTGTTCAAAAAATTATGGGAAAAGAAATTTAACGTGTATTTATAAATTAGCATTATTTCTTGCTAATAAATTTAAAAAATATAGAAAAAGAATTAACATAAAAATATATTTATAAATTAGCAATATTGCTTGCTAATATAAATGAATTAAATGTTTGATTATTTATGTGATAAATATAATTGAATTATTAAAGACGATTTTTAATAGTGCCAATTTCATATATTTACATAATGTTATATAATTATATTAGAAGATATACAATATGTCTTATGACAAATTCGGAGGCATTCAGTGAATACTGCATGCACATTAAAGTCGTCATACATAAATTAATGTAAAGATGTGTGTTTAATATAAATATAGAAAAAGGTTAAACGTGAAATTTTCAATACATTCATTGTACTGTAAAATGTATTTTATAATTTGAAATATTCGCATTTCACTTTTACACTTAGATCAAATCAGTATGTATAACGGCTTTAATATGCATCACTATATAGTGTGTCCAATCGAATTCACTATTAGATTAATTTTTGCAATTGTAATTTAAGATCTGGAATGATCGAGACAAATTAAATATGCGTGAAATTATATGACGGAAATTATGTAATAAGCGGAACAGCATTTAAATACTATATTTCCTAGTGACCGAATTGATCAGTCTACTTCGAAATGCGCAAGATAAATGACACTTGGCGATATTGAATAAACACTCGATACGCGATAAAATCTATGCATTCATAGCAGCCAACGCAGTAAAATATTTCGAGAAAGAATTCATCCACTGATAGATGACGGGTTTTATAAATATTGATGGCCGCTCGTCTTACATAGTGGATCAGAGCTTTTGATTTTGATTTTCCGACGAAGACAGCGTCGGAAATATGGCCATCGCGCTGATGACGCCGATGATGATGGTAATGATGATGATCGTTATGATGATGAGTTGGTTCTTGATATTGGGTTCTTGGGGAGAATTTCTACTGGGTGGAGTGCGAAGCGCCGTGTACAACGACACCTTCGCGTCTGCTTCGAATCTGTAATTCAAATTCGAAAGTCAAATTAATTTAACGCTTGTCATTTTTCACGTTTCGGCGGCGCCGCGCCGCGGCACGCGGAGCCCCGGCAGCTATCTTTCGATATTTCATCCCGTAGAAGGCCGTGCCCACTCCCCCTGTGATAGATGCATCTCTCCATGATTGTGCTGTCACGCTCTTGAAACGAGGAAGACGCGCCACGAATATTTCAAGTATTATAAATGCGCGGCCGTGGGAGCGAATGATAGTCGACATTGCGCGCTGTTTCGCTACCGATACGTACACGAGAGATTTATCTTATTCCTTGCACTGACCTTGTACAAGATTCGTACACTGAAAAAAAAGATTGGCTGCTGCAGCAAATTAGATGATAAAATATGGCATAGCATTTTTAATTGGTTGCAGCAGTCAATTTTTGGTTGTGTTAGTCTATCGAAATCCTATACTGACATTGCAGATAGGCTAAAGCAATCAAAAATTGGCTCCTGCAGCCAATTAAAAATACTATGCCATGTTTTACCATCTAATTTGCTGCAGCAGCCAATCTTTTTTTCAGTGTACGGATGATGTGTAAGCTACATAGCTCATGTAAATTTGTTGTATCGCATGTGCGTTAATTACATAAGTAAGTTCTTCTAGGTTGCTCAATTTATAAAAACATATTGACGTAGTTGATATTTCTCAGAATAACGATAATGTTTACGATTTGATGCTATTGGAGTACACTCCCAAACTAGATGCTCCTATTTCGAGAGTCATTATGAGTTAACAAGCCTCGCAGGTTATAAATATCTCTCACCTTATAACCTATCGATATTGAACGGTGCACGGTGGTTGAAACCAGTCGGCAAGCCGTGAGTTAGTGCTTATAATCGCGTTAGCCTAATCGGTGTTATAGGGAGTCCGTTTCGGAGTTGAAAGGGACCAAAGGCACTAAAACGGCCCTATTAAGCCTCTATAGACCGCCACAATTGGGCCACCCAATCCCCAATACAATAACGTAGTAACTTTTCGGAGAACCAAATCTATCTGGGTTCGTGAAGGGGATTGAAACGATTTCATGCTTGTCACCACTATTCTCATTTCCTTGGAAACTAAATCTAAGCACATTTCTTAAACTCATCTCAGTATAAGATCTCTGTATTTTTTTTCAAATAGTTAATTAATCTTAGACTGCGTAGTTTAAACGAATAATTTCTAATATGCAGAAATAAATTATTATTAATCACGTAATAACATGTTATAATTACTATGCAGCATATGGAAAAACGTAATAATGTTCTTTAAATTTAATACTTATGTAATAAAATATCATTGAAACGTGATAATTCGCTTTATGTGTGAAATATTTTCGAAATTTTCTAACACCCGTTTTCAATGTAGATTAAATTCAATTTCGGTTCAAGTAATTCCTAGAATTAGAAAAAGATGTAAAGTTAGTTGAAGATGAAACATCATTTGTGGAAATGGTTATAAGAACGCGAAAAAAAAAATACATGAACACCTTTCCATAATTTATCAAGCAGTCGAAGTAGGCTTAATCCGTTGATTCTTTTTCTTCTCCGCCCTCGGCGATGATGGTGAAGGGAAACCAACGTGATGCATGACTGCACCCCCGTAAATTATTATATAAGCGCCACCCTATCTCCGAATCTGCAAAGTTTCAGAAATCTCTTTCCCGTTTCTCTATTTCTCCTGTCTTCTATCCCATAGATCACAAAGAAGCCGCCAGTAAGTTCACGATAAAGTTTATAGGAGACAAAAGGGGAAATGTGTTGCCCGCTGAAAAATCGTCGGCGCTGCAGCTATTATTAATCTGCGTCCGACACGCGTGAGCGCCGGTTGCGACGTGTTTTCATGACATAATTCGAAATCGATTTAACTTCTTAGCGCCCCTGCGTGACGTGTAAAGGACTCTTACTTGCTGCACCCGTCCGTAACTCAGGACGTACAACATTCCGGCTTTTAAGTCTCATTACCATACTCCTTCGTTTGCCGCTCGGGTTCTGCATACCTATTACATAGCTATTACACTGCCGGTTTGCTCGACCGGTTACCGGTACCTGAATATTTATTTAACCGATTACTTTTTTCATCGACTCCAGGGAAATTCGATCGCCGTCGCGCTGGCTGCTTCGTAAAATTATGGGCAGCGAATGAAGGACGGATAAGAGGCTGCTGCCCTTTCAAAGGCGGCGCTGTTATTATATGCATGCTTATAATATCGCACTTGAGATATTAATAACATTATTTAGTCGAGATAACTAACTATGTATAATCCGTATAAATAATTATATGGTAAGAATGTTAATAAGAATCACTTATTATAAAACGAGTGATTCTACGAAGTGATCGTTATTTAACAACGGTCATAGAATGTTTTAACACACATATGTACCCTAATATAAATATATATTGTATATTAATATTTCTCGTAAGAAAGTCTCTTTAGCTGGCTCCGGTCATGTAAAATTTTATAAATTCAGATTGATTATTAAAAAGTAAATTGTTTCTTTGTAACGTCAATTACCTTTCTGAAATGTAAAGTTACAAAATTAAATTGCAATCACAAATGTTGCCAAAAGTAAAAATTTTTGCTCTCTTTCCTTGCAGATTCTTTAAAGTGATGGATGATTTCACATCGACATGCGGTGAAGGTGAGTTTGCATTACTTTAATATATTTCAAACAAAATTCCTCGACTCAGAAATCGAAGTAACTTTATTTCATCTACCACAATCGTGGATAATAATGCAACGCTTTGCATTGATTGCGAGCAGTTGAATCGCTAAAATATTTGATGAAAGTTGCAAGACTCATATCTGATCGGCGCCAACTAAAATGCATCAGGTTCGACTACAGTAGGAAATAGCTCTACGAAACTTTGTATCAGCAATCATAAAAAAGGAACATCGAACATCGACGGGTACTCATGTTTCTAGCGAGAAAAATCTCGTAGGAGTTCTCGCTTGAACGAAACTGTTGATCACGACTGTACGGACGCATCCCTTCCTAATTTACTCTCTCGATTACGGCTCGGTCGTGTTGTACGTTGTGAGAACGAATGTAGAAGTCGGTGGTTGTTTTACTCGCGCGATTGTACGATCCGGCTTCTGTGTTTCGAATGAGAAGAATTCGACAAAGACGACTACAACGATTGGAAACGAATTCGGCTGGAGTTCGAGAAACGAAGGATCGCCCACGCGCGAAGTATATACCGGGGCGTTGTTAATTATCTGCCGCCGTTTATCAAGCAGTAGAGAAGAAAGTTCCCTTGAGCGTTTCTTCTTCTCTCTTCTACTCTCGTTTCTCTTTCTTCATCCACGTCGTCGCTTTCTTCCTTTTCTTCTCTTCTCTGCGTGTATAACCTCGCGTCCTTCCATTTTTTCTCATGCCAAACGGCCACTCATATCTATGAGGCTGCGTTGGGATTTGGTGTACATGTACACCGTGATTTAAGAATCGAGTTTTGATCTCTGGTTTATTTCGAGGTTATCTTAAATCTTCATGTATCTAAGATCTATTGTGGTCAAGGTATACTTTTTCAAGACAGTAATCTTCGGACGCTTGAAATTTTGAAATTTATTCGACAGAATAATGTTTTATTAAACTTAATTACACAAAATAATGTTTTATTACACAAAATTCGAAATTTTCAAAATTGTTGGAATTTACAAGATTCCTCGGAAAGTTTATAAGATGTGAAACTAACGTAATCATCTCAGATTTCTGTCGTCGAAATTGCATGAGCTTGCTCGGTTACGTTATCGCGACTTACAGCTGTCGGATTTGTACGTGAGAAACTTATGAATTAACTAACTCGAACTTGGAAGATGGAACGGTCCATCGAAGAACAAGTCGAGACGCATTCCAAGGCAAAAGAAGCCGTTTAATTGCTAATCTATCGAGCCACCACTTAGCATTTATCAATACCGTATATCCAGTGTCTCATACCAAAACGCCGGTCGTACGGAAGTATCTCGTTACATTCATTAAATTGATTATTAACTCTCAAATACATTTAGAAATCAAATTTATATTTTAGAGTAGAGTATTGCTAATTTTTGTTTTAATTTAATTTTAATTTAATTTTTCACATTTAAATTTATCCCTAATTGATATTCGCGATGGACCTAGACATTTTCTTTAACTACGTTGGAAAAGTTGTTTATAACAAAGATTTTTTTTACAATTTTACATAATTTTAAGTTATATAATTTTATTCTTCGGATTTTGATCTTTACAATGAAAAAATCGTTCAATTACGTTAATTTTAAACAAAGATACATTAACTCTTAATATACGTGATGATTTTCTGATCTTTTACTATACACACGATTACCATACACGATTTTACTATATACACATTATAACACAGTTCATTTGTGCAATCCTGGATTGATTTTTCTTATTTAATAAATATACCTACAAATTTATTAAGCGATTCTTACATATACTTTAATATCTTTAAAAAGTATTTCTAATATTGTATATTTAAAAAAATTGTATATAAAAACATTGTGTATATAAACATTATAACTAAGTACTTGATGTGCCTAATTTTTCGAAGAAAAGAAATGTGTACTAAGAGTTAATTTAAGCCGGTATTCATAATCAATTCTTATATTTAGAACTGTTTTAAGTGCAGTCTTAAGATGTCATAAGCCAATCTCAGAACCGTGTATTAGCATCTTAAGACTAGAATCGACTAAGAAAAACTAGAATCTTAAAATAAGAATTGACTATAAATATCGGATTTAAAATAGACTGCGAATATCAGTTAAAGAAGCAGAGTGAACACCGATTAGGATTATATTGAACTTTCGCGAATTGTCTCGATGTGTATCTAATTATTTCTGAAAATAAAATATAAATTGTATTACACTTCGAAAGCATTAAGCATGTTATAGTCTTTTTGCGCGAACTCAAATTATATTAATTTTCATTCAAGTATTTTGCAAAAAACCTTCATTCTCTGTGCGTTTCGCGACACAGTATACTCCGTATACGTACACATCGCGATTGAACTTAAAATCGTTCGATTGATTTAAAGCGGCAATAATCGGCAGCTTGAAAAGACTCTCTCTCTCTCTAACAAGCCAGTGATATTTTCATGTTTATGTATGCCAGACATTAACGTCCTCCCTCGTTTTGATGGTTCTTATGTGTATGCCTGGCGGAACTTTACGCTCTGGCGGTACTAGGATCTTTCCCGTATTCTCGGTACAAGACGACCAGGATCTACCAGAGGCTATTTGAGCTGACGTACCTCTCGCGTATATATCATATTGCCACATTTACTACGTCGCTTCGGGTCATACTTCGTGACTACTCCAGTAGCCCGAAAATCAACCTTCGCGCCGTACGGGGAGTGGCATGTGCAATTCCGGGTGCGCCGCCCGCCTTTTATTCCTTCGTCGGCGATATCTCGGGGGCACGAACGAAAACAATATTTGCATGCGACCGCCTACCCTCGTCCATCAGTATGCACGAGGTTGTACTGCAACCGACCCCTTCCGTCGCTTCGTTTCGCGCTGTTTGAAACGTGACGGATCGAAGTTCATTACAAGCAGCGAATTTCTACTTCGTTCAGAATTACTTAGCGAAACGTTTTTCCACCGCGTTTTTACACCGCTTTCCTGAATTTCGAATTCTGTTCGTAAACAAAACTCAATTTTCTTGTATGTGAGAGAAATTTGTAATAAAGCAAGGCACTGTTCGAAATCTCTCTCGCGGCATATGGTATATTTAAGCTTCATCTTCTTACAAGGAAAAGGACGCAACTGTCCCCCTCCGATTTTAATGAGCTTTTAATATGTTATTCTTCAGACAAAAATAAGCTACACGTATTTTTTATACGTGCCCATACGCACTTTTAGGGGATGAAACACCCTTTAGAAGAAACTCGGTTTTTCTCTTTCGAAGCAAATATCGCCAGAACTGTAAGAGAAAAATTTTCATGATGAAAATCGAATGGCTTCAAGAGTACTTTAGAAATATAATTATAAAGAAAAAAACAATTTTTTTCTTTATAAATAAATAATTGTTACAAATAAATAATTAAAAAAAATTGTTTTATAGTTTTAAACGTACGCGTCGCTTATTTTTGTCTAGAGAATAACATATTAAAAGCTCATTAAAATCGGAGGGGGACAGTTTCGTCCTTTTTCTTGTTAGAAAACTAACATTTTACTCGACCTCGTTAATTAAATAGCTTATAAGCATGGAACGAAATTTTCAGTAAATTGTAATTTTTAAGTGGTACACAATACTTCTCTCTTTTTCTCTCTATATAATATCCCTCTCTATATATAATATCCTGAAAGCATAAATGAAGATAGTGATTGCGTGTGCGAAAATGTTTTAAATACATAGCAATGCTCATAAATCTGTATATCTATTAACGACGGACACGAAATAGGTTTAAATAAAAAGATGAATAAAAAAGACAATCTTTTTTACATAGTACTCCAACATAAATTTAAAGATCCCGACGATCGTATTTTTTATATTATATTGTACTATTTTTTTTACATTATATATTTAATATAAATTTGGAGCGACTGTATGTTTGCGAATAATTGCATCAGTGTGAAGACTATACTTTGAATTGATCATGGGCGCATCCTTAATTAATGATATTACTGAATATACAAGGCATATTTTCGACCAACAAACATTATTATCATCATGCTTCAGCTCCCGTCGAGCAACGTTTGATTTCGGCTGCCAAACAGCAGGGTGCTCAGAAAGACTTCCGTAATATCCCTCTGACCATAATTTCATACCGATATACGGACATGTACATATGTACACATTATTCAAGTGCCAATCTGTGAATTTCACTTCTTCGAATGCCGAAGATTTTCGATAAGCGAAATTCCACATGCCTATCTTTTTCTTAATGTCAATACGCTTGTCCTACGGTGAATTTTAGTTTTGTGATAGAACTAACTATTAATTTAGTTATTAAAGAAGCTGTAATATATAATTATTTTACTTAACTTATAAAGCTAGGGAGAGTGGGATAATATTCGGCAAAAATGTTATTTTTGAAAAAATGACATTTATTAATGTCTGTCAAAGTAATCGTAAGTCTTCGACAATCTGCTTGAGGATCGGGCTTATTTGTTAGTATAAAAGCAGCACTCCACGGGGGTGCTGGCTCCAGATTCACATTAGATGCCGACGTGTTCTGAGAAGATTCCCGTCCGCTAAGAGTACATTTCTGGCGTATGTAAAATTGAGATGACCTCGTGATAGATCCCAACGTGAAACGAGCATATTTTGTATATTATGTACGCGTATATTGATGTCGAATTACATCTGTGATTTTCATTATTATTCTCTGATTTGTTTCAATTGTTATATTCTAACGAAAACATTATTCTATAATTTACTAAAATTTCATGAGTTAATCAATGACCCAAGAAATACAAAGAATAAAAAAAAAACTTTCGTTATATACTACGATTGTATATAAATAAAGAAGAGTGTTAAAAAAGGACTGATTCAAAAAGATTTAAGGAAAAGAAATAGTGTTTTTGTAGTGTTTTACTTTCTGGATACGACAAATTATTAAAAATTTCGCAGTTTGAGGATCACCTCGAAAATTTACTATTTCTTTTACTTACATCTTTTTGGGCAAAAATCAATCCTTTTTTAACATATATTCTCTTTTTAGATCCTACAAATGTGTAACATTTAAACGAAACAGTACTATAAAATTTTCTTTCTATTGATTTTCGAGAAAGACTGAAATTTCGTTCGTGAAATGAATTTACAGAAATATCTACGATCCTCTCTTGTTTCAAATGTTCGCGAGTTCTTCGGTTTATGTTCCATTCAAGTTGAGGATTTACGTTCTACGATTTTTCACACTGTTATTTTCCCATATATGATAATCCAAGGACTCCTTTACGAAGAAATAGCTTTTATACTCGAGTCTGCTAACACGTTGTTGCTCATTCACATATATATTATCTTAATACTTTTACATGGAGCGCTGTGTCGAAGGATGCTAGATCGAAAATAGTTTCAGTCAGCAGTTTTATTAGACCGTTTGTCATGATTTTTTTCATGGAAAATCTTATCTCCTTACTGGCGTCATTCAATTCGCGTCTACATATATTTGCATTATTGTCCTTCGCGAAAAGTATAGTAACGCATCTATCAAAGGAGAAGGGCATAACTCGCGCTGTATCGTTCCGAGATACCGATGTATTCTCCGTTCGATCAAGCGGCTCGCAGAGGTCAAACGGCGTATCGTATGACTCGCGATGGGTCACTTAATTCGCCCTGAAAGCCGTGGTAAAGAGGTACGAAGTGCCTCTAAAGTACTTGGTACTTATCTTCCGCTCGTTTGCGCTTCGCTGAAAACAAGAAGACATAAGGGAGAAGGTCGGTCGTGCGGAATCCAAGAAGAAGAGATAGGTAGACGCGCTTCGATCGTTATACTGGTCAACTACTCTCATTAAGGTTTGCGGCTCTTGCGAAAATGCCGCCGCGACCGACCGGTCGTAGCCGGAGTCACGAATCGTCGTGAATTCGTCGCAGCTTTTGCCGGTAATTTGCGATAATATTATAATCAGCCCCTTGCTGGGCCCGAAGAGGTGCCGACCCCACACCCCAGGCCGAATTGATGACCCGTGGAATCGTACGCTTTGCCGCGCGTTGCGGTATGCCCTTATTGACCGCCCTCTTCGCAAGCGAATATTTCTTCAGTTCCTGCGCGTCTTCGGTGCCGTCTGACGTCTCGAAAGCGCTTTCGAGATACCAATCGCGTGTCCCGCTGACTGAACTCTCACGCGTATACATACATACATACATACATATATATATATATATTCGTGTTGCCATATAATTACTTTATCTGTTACGTTTTACTCCGTTACTTATGAAACTCCTTTGAAAAGGAAATACACACGGAAGGCCTGCGATGTTTGGACACTTGAATTTATAAACCTTGTCTTTTCTTTATGAAGTAAAATATAATTACAAATATACACCGAGAAAAATTTCTGATTGAAAATGAATGAACCAGAAAATTCTGATCATATCAAGAGTTCTGATGAAGTTAATTAGAATTATAATAGATTCAACCAGAAAATTATAATTTGTTCATTTTTAACCAGAATTCTAATTAAATAATCAGATTCTTTTTCCGATGTATAAAGTATCTTTCGCGTGCTATTTCAAAATTTGTACCATTAGATTATGTATTGTGAGGTATATAAATTTTCTGTTACAGATGAACTTATAGGAGTCCATTGCACGCACGGTGTGAATCGTACTGGTTATTTAATTTGTAGGTCAGTATTATTTAATTCCATACCACCTTTAATTAATTAAACTAAATGCTTTCATTGCCGTTTGAATTGTTAGATATTCGAAGTTTTCGGATATCTGAATTCGCCAAATATTTATATCTAGATACTTGTTTAATCTTATGTAACTAATAGTGTATCAAGAGGTCGGTAATTTATATTTATCAATTATTTATTATTTTAATATCAAATATTCGTATGTATGATTAGTAGAAAACCTAGAGTACATTCCGAAACTAACAGTAACTAAAACGCAATGTAAAGTATAGATTTTAGTTACTATTAGTACATTTCAGAAGGCATCCCTACTTGAATCGATTACGGCGCTACTTTGTTATAGATATCTCATTCAACAGCTAGGTTGGGATACTCAAGATTCCTTAAAAGGTATGTTATTTTAAAACATTGTGTATATAGTAAAGTTCCGGTTTCTCTTGCAATTGTTTTATTTTTATTAGATGTAATTAATGAGGGACTTAATTAATAATTTTGTCTATTTTTTTTCGGCTGCAAGTAATTGTTTATTAAACATTTGGAATTATTATCAATGGATGGGGAAATAAATATTTGCGAATTATGAACAGTTTTACATTCTGTCAAAATAGTAGCGTAAATACATAGTAGGCCATGGTCGTAGGTTAGATCGTTTTTTTTTCTGCACGCCATGCAAAACATAAGTCAATTTATTTCGTTATACGATCAATCTGAAACAGGTTAGTTAACAATGACAGTCAATGAGATTATACTTTGCACTCTATTGATAAAGCTTATCGTCCAAACGAGATCTTCCTCTGTCTGTATCCAGCTTTTGGAGAAGCACGTGGCTATCCCATCGAACGCGACATTTATCTCACCGCGTTACAGGAGGTCCAACGCGGTGAGAAGATCGACACAAATAAAATTGTATTGATGCCGGATCCTATCAGTCTCACAGCTTCAACTAGGAAGAATTCGAAGCGCTCGTTGAAAAACTCAGGCCGACCGATGGGGCCGCCGATATTCGCGATGCCACGACGAGGTTTTGCAAATGGCAGGCCATTTTCGTCTCAGAGATTCGCCAGAGGTATCGCGGGACCACCACCGGGATACGGTCCAATGCCACCACCTCCGTCTGGTATGCCACCTATTCCGCTAATGAGTCCACCGCTCTATGGCCCTAGGCCGTTCAGATATGGACCACCACCGATACGTCCGGTCCAGGCGATGCCGCCAACGCCACCCGGACCCGGTTTTCCGCGTGCCGCTTTTCCACCGCGTATGCCAGGTCCACCGAGGATGGCGGCTCCACCGAGATTATCAGCCGGTCCAGCTGCGCGATTACCGCCACCGAAGATGCCACCACCACTACCACCACCGAAGATGCCTCCACCTTCCAGATCCAAACAACTCCAAATACAGAAGAAGCAGCAAATTCGAAATGGAATCATGGAGCGCTCGGTAAACGTTCATATGAGACGAAATGGTCCGGTCAGCAACAGAAGCTTGCCTAAAGTGCATAAGGAACAGGACTTCACTGTTGATACGTTCGAGGAAAATCTACTTACGACCTCGAATATCGCACCACCGCGACGGCAAACGAGAGGACGTTTTAATCGAGCCAAGTGACCATATACTCGTTAGGAATGCGATGATACTTAAATGAAGGATTTTCCGTTTGAAACATCGCAGTTAAAACAAAGGTTCACAGTGTCTAAGGTAGCTTGTGTGCATAGTTGCTGTCGTGTAACGAACAGAGATATTTCACAATTTACACTGTGATTATTTTTGAACATGGATTAGGACATTTAATGGATCCACACAAGTTATATAAAGTGTGAATTGTTATATCGATATCAATAACACATACCTCCCATAGATTTTTTTTTATTTTATGAATGTATTTTATATTGAAGACAATGCTAACGAACTTTATCGGAAATCTCATGATCATTTTCTGGCTTATGTCTATGTACACATATTTTTACTTTAATAATTCATTAAATAAGTGTTTATGTTGATTAAATAATGTAATATTCAGATTTTGCTAAGGAAAAACAATCAAGTTTATGTGTGTGTCCCTCTCTGATTTTAATAAGCTTTGGATAAAACATAAACAAAAAAATAAGACGTATTTTTTTATAAGTCCTCAATCACACGTGTTTAAGGGATGAAATTCTCTCGTGAAAAATATTGGTTTTTTTCTTTCTGAGGGAATATTGTCTAAACAGTCGAAGACATAAAAGTGGAATGATTAAAAAAAGAATACGTTATAATAACAAACTTTTTATAAATAAGATAATTTTTTAATAAAACATTTTTACTGATAAAAAACAAAAAATATTTATTATTATTATAATAAAGTACAGAATTCAACTTTTAATTAAAACATTTTTTTATATCTTTGGTCTAAATGATATCCGTTTAGAAAGAAAGAAATCGATTCTTTTTTTAAGGAAAAGCAACCTCTTGACATATGATTGAGTTTATAAAAAAAAATACATATTCTTACCTTTATCTATATTTTAATATATCTAAAGCTTTTTAAAATCGGAGGGGAATATTTGATTGTGTTTCTTTGTAAGCTTATTCATAGACACAGTATCATGAGATTGCGACAAAAACCATTTGGGAGTGTAATAAATAATTGTTTATATGTTTGTTTAACGGGAAAGCAAAATATTATATATATCTAAAGACAGAACTGTCCATGACTGTCTTACGCACGTACTATTATTTGTAGATTAAGTGTGAGTACGTCATTAACATGGCTTCATACAGTTTGATGTATTATGAAATTTTTTTTATTTAGACATTTAATATTCTTGTTTTAGCATTATATAAATTGCACACACACTTAAAATCACAAATAGTATATTCAAAATAAATAATAAATTAAAAATCAAAATAGATGAAAAATAAAATGGACAGTTTATTCTATAATATATAATTTTAAATAAAATGTGGACAGTTAGATATAAGATATATATATATATATTATATAATATAAGAAAAAAATATTAAATTGAAAATTTCTTTATCCATTTATATTCGGGGGACAAACTCACAATCATTTTCATAAGTAGGTGGAAGTACAATTTTGCAATGTTTTTAGCAAAACTCGATATCGAAACTAAATAACTCGCAATTAATTACTGCATTACAGATTAACAGCAATTAAAACGAGATTTCAGTGAATCTATCAAGTATTTAACTTTATTTTCTTTAATATGACGTATCATTCTTTTCATATTGAATTACTAGCGTGTTTTATATTTTCCTTTCGACATGATTTATTATTATCCCCTTCTATATTATATACAATCAATTCTTTTCTGAACGCTATAAATCTGTTCTCGAAGGAATTACTTCGCGAGGGAATTACTTCCTAGTAGCACGGGGACCGATGAAAATGTTTTACGAGAATGCTCGGTGGTAAAGTAGCTTATGTGGTAGTTCGACGTTGTCGTTGTTATAAGATTGCGTAGATACGCGCGTGGCGCGAACGTAATTGAACGTATGCCTGGAAGATCGGAGCGGGCCATGGCTGATCGTGCATCGTGTATCTCGGTCCAAGATATTAAAATGATTCAATATTCGGACCGGAGTCAAAGGGTCACACGTGTAGGAGGGACACGTCTCTCGCGCGCCTGACCATATATCACGAACTGCCGTTGGCGTACGTGGAATAATTCCACGAGAAATTGCACGCGTCATACGCGAGTAATGCCTTGGGCCTCAGGGGTTTTACCCGGCGGCTTTAAAAGTGAGACTTGGTGATAGGAAGGGCATAAATTAAGTGCGTTTTATAGCGTACCGTACGTCCCTCTCGCATGGTAGATGTGTGCATTGCTCTGATTGTAATGACGTGCGGAAAATTTCGGCATATTACTAAAAATCAATGATACATAAACAATATATAATTAATGTTAAGTGAAAAATATAATGCTTAGGTTATTAATACTGCTAATTTCCTAAAATGAAGAAAGATTTAATAAATTGGATATATTTAATATATTTAAACGATGACTAAATAAAAAAAAATGAAACACGTGTGTGTGTGTGTGTGTGTGTGTGTGTGTGTGTGTGTGTGTGTGTGTGTGTGTGTGAGTGTGATACATCCGTATGGTGTGATCGCAACGATAAGAAATTTAACATGTAAAAATCACGACTGAAATATTATACTTCAGAAAGAGAGATTGGAATTAAGATTAAAAGAAATTATTGCAATGACATTTTAAATTCAATGATATCAAAATTATATTTTTTTTTTTCGAACTGTTTGCTTGTACTAGGAATAATAGAAAAGATACAGAGCATGAATCGTTTGCTTTCATCATAGTCAAATTAATATCATGCTCTAAGTTATGTTGATAAACGTAACGTAGGCACAAGTTGGACTTAAATGTTAGGAAGTAAAGAAAGAGAGAAGGGAACGATGACGACGAACGACGACGAGAAAAGAGGTCGTGGATAGAAGGAATTCGAAAACTTTCTCAGAGGTGGAAAGATCGTCGCCCTTCTCGCGCCACGCTCCCGGCTCACGGGAGACAATCCGAAAGTAACTTCTGGTGCGGGCTACTGGCGCCATGAGAAACAATCGTCCATCGCGATCGTTGGGCGCAACCGTGCACGCGAGACAACTGTTTCTCCGGGCCCCATATCTATCTCTCAGTTAGACATTAGATTTATCGACATATTTTCTCAGTCTTTTGAGAGACTTTATTTACTTTTGTACAACATCGTCTACCTCGCTTTCGTGCACCGCTGATGCACGCGCGACTACCCGCCTTGTTTCAAACCGCACCGGACGCTGGTCGATCAGATCGGAGGGGGATAGCAGAAACGGAGGTTCAACCCACCGGGAAACGGTGTTTGTATAAATTCTATTTTGAGCAGAAGAGTAGATACGCGCGTGACAATCGAGAATTGGTAGAAATTGGATAAAGATCAAGGGGCTTGAGGAGAACATGTTATATTACGTGGAGCAAATTTGTCGGCATTTAAAAAGAGAACTTTAAATTATTGCTATTACTTATGTCGTATAATTACGTCGGATAATTCCTCAAAAAGAATGCGAGTTTTCAAGCCAACAATCGCTATACTATTATCTCAAGTCTTGCGATTTTACTTTCGATTTGTGGACTTTTGGGCAAATAGAGCAAAAAATTGTAAGTATAACGCAGTATGATTGATTTACGAAAATAATAAAAGTTCAAAGACTCGATAGTTTTTTCAAATAACAGGGAAACTAACCAGGCAAATGAGAATCACGCTTAGGTAGTGGAGTGCGATTAACAAATATGTATATATATGTTAATAAAATTACGCTTATTCGAACGTTTCAATTCCTTTTTCCGGGCCATCCTCGAAGAATAAATATAATTTTATTAACATAATTATCGATTTAATTAAATGATCATTTAATAAGTGCTAAGCTGAAACAATAACTTTTTATTAGAGGTATTGACAGAAATTTCTATTATCGTAACTGATACAGGGTTACTGCGAATGAAGATCGCATAATCTAACTACTGCGTGATTGTTCGAAACGATCTTTCGGGTGCGTTTCGACAGAACTTTTCAAATAATTCGCAGAAGGACAAACAAGTCCATAAAGACCTCGTGTCATTTCGCTGTTTCTTCTTCCTCACGTCTAGTTTCCCCTTTCGGTCGTTTTATATTTCTTTGAGGTGCGATCTATCAGAAACACAGATCACAAATCAGATAATTCATATGCTTATCTGATCCATATCTGATTTGTATGCGCATCAACAATAAGTTGCAGAATGAAATAATCATCAGAAAGAAAGTAGACGAATCAAAAGGAAATAATGATTTAGCATGCAAAATTATTTTTTTGTTTTTTATTAAGAAAAATATAATTTTTTATTTGTTACGTTAGCATCATATGTTGTTTATGCTTAGTAAAAAAGTTACTTTAATGAGGTCATTAAATTTCATCGTGTATTTAGTACTAGAATGAATACAATATCCATGGCATATCACAATTTTTATGTCAATGAATAATATTTTTTACTTTTTAATTATCAATATTGAATAAATAGAAAGGGATAAGGAAAGTGTTGAAATCTAAACCAACTTTCCATTTTCAGAGTACAGGGTTTATAATTTCGCAGAATAAATTCTATGAATCCCTTTTAATTCACCTATTTTTTTTGCAGACATTGAACGCTATAATTCACTGGCGGAGGGATCGATAGCGAGTTCCCTCTCGTCCGACGTGGCAATTAGTCCCGATTAATTCCTCAAAAATGAGAAGGAACGCGCGCGTGCTCTGCGGTAGGTATAGATCTTTTAGGGTAGGGACTTTCAAATCGAATAGAAGGCTAAAGGCTAACCACACACGTGGTTTGAATTATCTAGCCTCTCTTATTCTCTTTCTCTTTCTCTCCGTGTCTCCTCTCTATTTCGTATATCCTCTATTCCGTGTATCCTCCGGCCTATGTATTACGCGTATGTATGCGCGTCTCGTTGGCACGCCAATACGATGCGTGGCAGTGCACTTTAATGCCGCGGCGCGGCCTACTTAGCGGCCGGCTTGATTAACATGGAGTGATTAATAGTTGCTCCCTCCGTTCGTAACCAACCCCAACAGCGGCGGCATCGGAGATCTAATCGCACGATATTTATTGCCCTGCGCGTCGTCCACCTCAGGGCCCTCGGCCACAGCGATTTTGCGAGTCCGCTCCCTCTTCCCTTAACCCCCTTTCACGTTCTCCTCCTTTTCGATTTCGTTTATTTTGATTTTTATTTTCGTCTCACACCGACTTACTCAGAGCCGGTCCGCGGGCTCCTCGCCTTCCTGAATTTCGGCCTCCCAGCATCGCCTGAATTCCTTTCGGTTCCCGTTTCAGCTCAAGTTATTTAACAGTGGTTTAATGATATTTATTAATTTACGCGACATACGGCGGGAGTACATAATATTAATTAAAAATAAGCAAGATGCAAATTGATTATGCCTTACTTTGTTTTAAAAATTAACTTCTTGTTCGATGAATATGATAAATA